GTTGTGTGAAGGCTCCCACGTCATCTTTGCCCGCCTCAAGGGTCATGCTGACAAAGTCCGGGGGTGGGGGGCAGAGGACGGTATGCTTCCTGTTCGTTCAAGGAAGAGCTTGGAGGTTGCCAGCTAAGGGTAGCATAAGTCACCAGATCCCTGTGGCTTCAACACTTCCAAAGATGTGACCTCTCTACCACGCACTCCCTCCTGAGCAAAGGGAAGGGTGGTGGAGATATATCCCATGTTCTTATAGGAGAGCATGCGTGCACACCCCCAGCATTGCATGCAGCCCGTGGGGGGGCAGAGAAAGCGGCACACCCCTGGCATCTGAGATGGAGATAAAAGAGGTACCTGGGAGGGGAGAGAAAGAGAAGAACGGTACAGAGAAGACTGCCCATGCATCTTCAGGGAAAGCAGCGGGATTCGAACACGGGGTTTCCGAAACTTGCCCCTCGGCCCCCAGGAGCTTACGCTCACTCTCAAAGACAAAGCCTTGGCTTGGCGACCGGTGCCCTGGGGTTTTGCTGAGAAGTTTCTGAGGATGCTGGCCAAGCGGGAAATCATTTCCGTAAGTACATTGGATGAGATAATGAAAATGTGCCTGACAAGGCTTTGGCCGGGACGCCCTTTTTTTCCTCCTAATGTGGAGGGGAGGACTTGGCGCCCCGACCGCCTTGAAGCATTGTCACCGCCTCTCGGATCCTTGGCGGGCAGAGGTGTCAAGTCCCGGCTCATGAATGGGAAGGTCATATCCTTTCGGGAGAAGCTGGGGTGGCCTCTGAGGGGCTGGCCGAGCCAAGGGAGGGCTAGCAGAGGTTCCTGTTAACTTGCCTTTTATTCCTTAGCAGAGTTGCTCTCTGCTGCTGCCACGGCTGCTGTTGAGGCCTCATCCGGCGCTTTGAAAAAAGCATCAACCGAAGGACGCTTGGCCACACCAACAGGCAAGCTGGTGGTCATTCTCACAACCTTTCAAGGCGAGCGTATTTCCGGCTGGGCCCATTTCTAGAGCGTTAGCGAAATTTTCTTGAAACAAGGCAGGACGTTTCAGCAACTGAACCTCGAGTGAAGGTTTCTTGGGGTGTGCGTGTGTGTTAAAATTGTAGACACCTTCGAGGCGCCTAACAAGAAGAGGCAAATTAAAAGCAAACCCTTGGACCCTAAGCTTTGGTGATGTCCAAACCTGGCAGTGATCTTCTTGTGACAACAGAGAAAGACGGATTCCACCTAAGGTCTGCTTTGACCGTAGGGTTTATGCCGGATCAAGCTGATCTTGCTACCTAAGGGAGGGAGTTGCCTGTTTCCTCACGCTTAAGGAGAAGGCTGGGGCCAGAGTGCATGCCGTCCCATGGCGTTCTTTGAAACACGCGTTGGGATGTTCCTTTTTCACGTCCTAGCAGTTGAGTCGTTGGCGGCCAGAACACGGGGCGTTGGGCAGCCCAGCCGCAGCAAGAATGGGATCATGGCAAGAACCAGTGAATCTTGGGCAGGTTGTGCCTACAGAAAGGAGAGCAGAGAATGTTCTCTTGAGCATGTTAAAAGGTCCTGGAGGAGACACCGTTCTGGAAAGGCACACTTTCATCCAGAGCTGAAAAATAATCCAGCCAACGTGATGCATCTCTGAACAAACCAGACTGAAGAATAGTAAATATCCACAAGGATTTTTTCCCCCGTTTTCTTTTCTTTTTTTTTTTCCCCTTCCTTTTTCTTTCTCTTTTTGGCAGGCATTCAGTTCTAAATTGGGCTAATTCTGCCTTCTGAAAGGAAGATAATTTCCATGTTTCTTTGGTTGAGAACACATAATTGAAGTTATTTTCCTTCCAAGAAAGGAGCCTCTGGTACATCGTTTGCAAATGGACAGGGAAAATGAATGTGTATCTTGCTGGCTGAGCACTGGAGCGTTCATTACGGCCTGGTTTTTGAATGGCGCTGCCATTTTCACAAGGTGCTTATCGCTTGTTCAGGTGGCTCTTCCCTCCCCCGCCACACACACACACACCTTTCCTTTTCTTAGCGTTACCGGGTTAATGGGATGGGGAAGAGGTTAGGTGAAGACAGAAACCAGTGATGTATCATGGGTGAGCCACGAGTGAAGAACGGCTAATCGTTATCAGCAAAATTTGGAGTGGAAGTGATAGAAGTAGGCCTGCAAAGGTGGCAAATGGTGGAGGAAACATTGGCTTCTCTTCCATCCAGTGCTGCTCTTGGATCCTGCATTTCCAGAGGTGTGAGCAGATCTTATAGAATAAATTCGAGCTGGGAGGGGCATGTAAGGCCATCCAGTCCAACCCCCTGCTCAAGGCAGGAATCCAGATCAAAGCAGATCTGACCCATGGTGGCCCAATTTTCTCTTGAAGGCCTCCGGCGTTGGAGCGCTCACCACCTCCCCTTGAGGTCATGGGCTCCGTTGTCATACTGCTCTAACCGTTAGGAAGTTTTTTTCTGATATCCAGCTGAGATCTGGGCTTCCTGTAGCTTGAACCCATTATACGTGTCCTGCACTCTGGGATGTTGTTAATGGTTTCCAAATATGTGATACATTTCAGCAGCCGCGAGGGTGGACTCCGCTTATATGCTGACTCACTTTATAGGGAGTATGTTTCAAGGTTCCCATTTTGACTTTCCCAACTCTTAAACAGCAGTGGCATGGTCTTGTGGAAGGTGTCTTGAGGATGCCCTGCATGGTCATCCCCGTGTGCTGGTTCTACACATGCAACTAAGAGCGATGTGTCTGTCGGATTCTCCCCTGTGTCTGCTCGCTTGGAGTTTTTGTGTGTGTGTTGCTTTAAACGAAAGAAGAGAGCCACACGGCAACCAAACAAAATGCCACCGATCGAAATCCATATGTGCCTGTGGTTGAGGAGACCACAGAGACCACTGGAGAAAGTTGTTCCGTAAACGGAACTTTAGGAAACAATGTGTTTGCGGCCGGCTGATGAGAATCAGCAAGAGTGGGTAATTTGTTTTTTTAAACACAAAGTGGAATTTTATAGAGGCAGTCATTCCGAGCTCAGCCCGTCACACGGAAGCAAACTGGTGGATGGCTTGACCCTCCTGTTCCTTCAGTTGCAAAGACCCGTCAAGCGCCTTTTGCCATGGAGCGCCCACTTTATCGAAGCAGCCTTACCAAAACGGCAGGCCACTTTCGGTTCTCAATGTTTATGCAAGGGTGTTTGAGCAGTGGAAGACTTCTGATACTATTCCCATTGTGATTATCTAGCGCATGGGCCGTACGGTGGCTCAGAACGCAGCAGGTCGTTTTCCTCACTTTTTTTTATTTTCTACCTTCTTGTGATGTACTCTATTATGTTCCATCAAGAGGCGTCTGACGTACAACTCTAATGGGGTTTTCATGATATGTGCAATATCTAACGACTGGTTTCACCACACCTACCCCTCCTGACCCTCACGTTCTCTCTGTCTCTGTCTCTCTGTCTCTCTGCTGGATCAGGCCAAGGGCCCATCTGGTCCAGCTTCCTGTATCTCACCGTGGCCCCACCAGATGCTTCTGGGAGCCCACGAGACCACAGGATACCTGTCTCCTGATCCCCCTCCCCTGCATTTGGCATTTGGAGGTACCTTCCTTCCAAGCTGGAGATTATACTACAGTGGTGCCTCACTTGACAAAGATAATCCATTCCAGCAAAATCACTGTAGAATGAAATCGTCATCAAGCGAAAGTAAAAATCCCATTGAAATGCATTAAAAGCCGATTCAATGCGTTCCAGTGGGCGAAATACCTCAGTGTCCAGTGAAGATCCTCCATAGGGCGGCCATTTTCCGGTGCCTGTAAAGCGAGGAATCCGTCCTAAGACACAGCGGGGTGCCATTTTACACAGCAGGCGACCATTTTGAAAGTCCGATGATCAACTGCTTTGACCGTCAAAGGTCCCGAAGCAGGGAACTGAACATCGTGAAGCGATTTTTTCCCTATTAAGACATAAGACATAAGACATAAGAAATTTATTTGTCATTGCACTCACAAGTGGGTGCAACGAAATGAGGTGCTCTTCCCCAAGGTAAAACTGGACAACACCACTACAAAAAAGTTAAAATATACACAACACTCACCATACAAATATAGATACGCCATTACTCCCAGCAATTAAAATTCCACCAAAAACTTATGACCCCGCATTTAAACTCAATACTGCACTTGGGTAGAAGCTGTTCTTGAATCTGCTTGTCCTTGCTTTCAAGGAGAAGCAGATTAAAACATTGTTAAGCGATTTCCTCGTCTAACAAGGTACTCGTCAAGCGGGGCAGCACTGTACATCCCCATCATGGCTTTTAAACTGTGATAGACTGACTCTCTGATCTCTCTCTCTCTCTCTCTCTCTCTCTCTCTCTCTCTCTCTCTCTCTCTCTCTCTCTCTCTCTCTCTCTCTCTCTCTCTCTCTCTCTCTCTCTCTCTCTCTCTCTCTCTCTCTCTCTCTGACTACAGCTCCCAGCATGTCCCAATCTGAACCTCAGTGGACACTGATCCCAAAAAAATCTCTCCACTGCCACAGCACAGTGAACAATTAACTGCAGAGAGAAGGATTTCAGCCGAATTGCACCTCTGAAACAGGCGGCCAGCATGCTTCCTTCCATGGATCCGCTTATGAGTAACTGGGGAAGTTTTCCCTTAAAAAAAAAAAGTTCTGAATTTATGAACCATTTCACTCCATGACACATTTACAGTCATGCTAGATTCATTTCAAGGATCATAGAGCCCAAATTACATCCTCATATGAACTGTATATGTTTCGATAACTAAGAAATAATGACCTGTTCTCCCCCCCCCTCCCAAAAAAACCCACACACACATCTGCGCAGGATCCCAGGGACCATCCTGCACGGTTTGAGAACTGGACATTTTCATCATAGGCAGGAGCATTATTGTTCGCTTTGCTTGAACACCCCATTTCAGTGTGAAGTTGTGCTTCTCAGTTGACCTAAGCTGTGTGCCTGTAATCTCGGTGGAAACTGGACCAAGTGCCTGTTTTGTTTTTTTGACCCTTCTCCAGAGTGGACCTTCTGGCCCCAGCCCTGCCTCGAATGTTCCCCTGGTCAGACCAGAAGATGAGCTGGAACACTTGACCAAGAAGATGCTGTACGACATGGAGAACCCACCTTCAGAGGAATATTTCGGTAAGCGCTGTGACACTGGTCGCTTCTTTTGGGTCTCGGGTGGGGGAGAAAGGCCCCTCCTGGAAGCCTCAGGAAGCAGAAATAAGCCCCCGGTTATTTTTTGGCAGATTCTGGATTCATAGAATCCTAGAATCATGGAGTTGGAAGGGCCCTACAAGGCCATCCAGTCCAACCCCACCTGCTCAAGGCAGGAATCCAAAGCAAAGCAGATCGGACCGGGGGTGGTCCACTTTTCTCTTGAGGGCCTCCAGTGTTGGAACGCTCAACAATTGTTTTTCATTGGTGTTGTGTGGGAACATTTATACCCCAGTATAAACTCTTCCAGGGATGCGGTGATGCTGCGGGTTAAACCACAGAAGCCTCTGGGCTGCAAGGTCAGAAGACCAGCCATCGTAAGATCGAATCCACGCGACGGAATGAGCTCCGGTCGCTTGTCCCAGCTCCTGCCAACCTAGTCGTTCGAAAGCATGTAAAAATGCGAGTCGATAAATAGGGACCACCTTGGTGGGAAGGCCATGGCGTTCCGTGTCTAGTCACGCTGGAACCGTGACCACGGAAACTGTCTTCGGACAAACACTGGCTCTACAGCTTGGAGACGGGGATGAGCACCGCACCCTAAAGTCGGGCATGACTGGACTAAATGTCAAGGGAAACCTTTAATATAAACTCTTCCACTCTGTGATGCTGGGCCACCTCTGTTCTAAACGTTCTGGAGGTCTCACAAGCCTCCGGATCATGTGCCCTGCTGTTCCACCAGAAAAAAAACAAACAGAGGGGGAGAATAGAGCAACGACGTTGACTTTAATTTGCATTAAACATTTTCTGCCGGGCAGTGTGATGCCCGAGTAACCGTCGCAGGCCAGAGAGCCGTCTGCTAATCATATCATTAGGTCCGATTTAGAGAGCTGCATCCTAGCATATTAAAAGTCGGTTGCGAGCAGATAGGTTTTGAATGGAGGGATCTAATTAACCTTGCTGCAGACCTGCAAGGCATTGTATTAAGTCAGGAAAATAATTTGCTCCACATAATTACATCTGAAAAGCCAGGCTATCTAGGGAAAGGTCACTCTGTGGGCCTCTGAAGAGGCTTTGCTCACGTGGCGACAAGCCTCCGAACCACCATCCTGGATGTCAGTTTCGCCCCGTGGTTTTCAGGTGCTCAGGACGGGGGGGGGGGGGGTGCTCAGCTTTTGGGATGGAGTTAATTACTCAGAAAGTTGTGCCCCTTTGATGCCGCTTCATAAAATGGGATAGCTGAATACAGGAACCCAGCGTATTGCCATGGTGATTTAGGACAAAGTCTCTTCTCGTCCAAGGCTGTAAAATTTTCCTTCCTGCCTTTGCACAAGCAAGAAAAATAATAATGACAAAATCCCCGAATGTTTTCTCCCCAGAGAGTGAGGTTGTGAAGCTTTTGTGTGTTTCCCTTATTTCCCCGACAACCTTCCAAACAGACTCTCTCTCTTTTTTTTATCGTATTACGAAAACCGATTTTGTGATTTTAAAAATTGTATTTTGCCCGTGCGACAAAAGTTTACATAAAATGGAGACGGATTTTTTAAAAAACAAAACAAAATACATGGGTTTTGCCCAGAAACTCTGCAAGCGGATTCATTGGCAATCACGGCGCAACGAGTTAAACAACACAGCTGAGGCTGGAATAGAGTCGCGGCAAGAGCTGGAGACCCATGCATTATTTACGGAAGCTTCTATCCTGAACACAGCGTGTCAGGTGCTTGATTCCACCCAGAGAACCACATGCAAACTCATTACACCATTGGGTTCCTCCCCTGCAATTAAAAAAAAAATTATAGATATAGTTACAAGTGCTCATTTTATTGCTAAGACTTTAAAGTGTATTTTCCTTTTTTTAAAAAAAAATGGTTCTAGAGGCATTTAGCCTAAGGGCAACAGAAGTGAACTCTCGTAAGGCATGGCGGTGTTCTGATTTAAGTTGATTTCCACTTGAGCTGGTGCAGGCATTCAGAGTCTTTATTTATTTCGTCCTTCAACGGTGGAACAAAGTGTTGTGTCTCTGTGTCGGCACATCTTAGCATGAGTGTATCGGGAATGTAGAAGAATGGAACGCAGGATCTGGTGGCGGCCGGGGTTGGCCGCTCACACGGCAGGTAGCTGGTAGTGGATCTCCTCCAGATTTTAAACTTGACCAGGGTTATCTGAGGTGGGGGGGGGTTTAAGATTCAGCACCATGGAGAGCTCTGGTGAAGTTCCGCATGAAGGCCCCAGAAAATCAGAACCAGGCATTCTCTTGGGGGAAGAGAAAGGTTAGTTTTGTGCTGCTCCTCTTGAATGATGCCAGTGAACATCTGAAGTGCCTCTTTTTAGAGTTTTAAATGCTATCTCTTAGATCCTGGGAGGTAGCAGAGTGGAGTGGGAAAGAAAAACCTCTGATTGACCCCAGCCAATAATAATAAGAGTAATGTGCTGTAAAGTCAGTTCTGACTTACAGCGACCATTTTCAGGTTTTTCCAGGTACAGAGAGCACTCAGAAGTGGTTTCCCCTTCTCTTCTTCTGGGGCGGGTGCCTTGGAATTGTGCACCCAGGCTGACTCTACTTCCAGGAGATGTTAAATTCTTACTGTCTCCCTTGTGCTATGTTTCTCCAGATCCTACCTGCATTTTCCTCCCCTCCTTGTGCTTCCAGAATTAGCTTTTTCTTCCTGTACTGAAATCTGTATACTGATTTTTGCTCATTTTCCCATCATGTGCATATTTATTGACACAGTTGACCTATTAAACGCATTTATCATCCAATTTTCTCTAGTTTATGAACTTCTTCCATGAACTGGTGCCTGTTGGTACCTTCTTTTTTCTAAACAAATAATACATTTCTTTCTTGCGTGACCACAAGACCATTGCAGACATAGCCCAATGCAAATACAAAAACATAAGCAAATAATACATGTGCATATGGTACAAGAAACAGCACTTTTCAGTGGGAGAGAGCGAGAGAGAGCTGTTTTTCTCTGTTTCAGCTGGTAAAGTAAAAGCAAAAGAACTGAGATTAGCACTACTGTTTTTATCGGGAGAGTTTGTGGAGTATGAACCACTTCATTGACACACGTGTGTCTCAACTTAAAAAAATCCACAAAAGCTTCCATCACCCCCAAAAAATCTTCAATGGGGTTTTATTCTTGGTGTGAATATAAAATAAAAGTGGTGCAGGAGTGCTGGCAGGTGACAAACTTTAAAGATCTGGAGAGGTTTAGCAACACACTACAATGAAGAAGTCTGAATACTCCAAAAAATTTGCCACCGTTTCCCATCATAGATCACCAATTGGTTTTCACAAAGTTTACAGGTCTTTCTGGCTGTCGTAGTCAAGTGGACAATGTTGGTGAGGATGTTGTCAACTTTGATGACTTTTTGCTTCCCCTCTCCTCCCCTCTGCCCCAACATCATGCCATGTTTGCCTCCTAAAGAGTTGTTCTTGTTGAGCTGTTAAGTCATGTCCAACTCTTCGTGACCCCCATGGACCAGAGCACGACAGGCCCTTCTGTCTTCCACTGCCTCCTGGAGTTGGGTCAAATTCATGTTGGTCATTTCGATGACACTGTCCATCCATCTCGTCCTCTGTCATCCCCTTCTCCTCTTGCCTTCACTCTTTCCTAACAGCAGCATCTATAGGGGACCGAATTCTATATATATATATATATATGACAAACCTCAACAGCATCTTAAAAAGCAGAGACATCAACTTGCCGACAAAGGTTCGAATAGTCAAAGCTATGGTTTTTCCTGTAGTAATCTTCTATTTTTACTGGAAGGCTGCATTTGTAAGACCACACAGGATCTCTGGAACATTCATTCCTCTAAAAAGGAAAAACGAAATGACACTGCTTTTCTTTTTATCCCTTTCCCTTTTCCCTCTTCTTTTTAAGAATGCCTTCCCTTAGGTATTCTTCATCCTTGACGATCAAATGGCAATCTCACACAAACACCAAAAAAAAAAAAAGAAAGAAAGAGAAAGTACAAGTTTACTATCAGCTCCCTGGTGGCATTCCATCAGGGAAATCTATAACTGGACAGTGAATGACTTCTCAGTGATCTGATCAACGCCTCTCCCGCGCTTCGCCTTTGGACGGAAAGCGGTGCATACCTCCGAGGCCGGAGCAGGGCGGGAGCCGGGGAGGGCTGTCGAAAAACGGCAGTCTTGTTCGTCTGTTGACTTATGTTCGGCCCCGTCCTCGAAATGCTGTTTTGTCATCAATACCGTTTCATTAGGAATAATGATTTTTCCACGTTCCCTGCTAGTTGAGTTCCTGACTGTCCAACAGCCGGATGTGCCGTGAATCTCTAAAGCTCACTTATCGGGGGAAGTGGTGACAATTAGAGATGTAGCAATTGGCGGCCGGGGGGGGGAGGCGGCAGCCGGTGGCAGCAGCGTAGCCAGAACGACGATGATGGATGGCACCCGCTGGACCCCTGAAGTGGATGTTTCTATCCAGCCTATTTGCATAAGAGAGGTTTTGCAGGCCAGTTCTGCAAAAACAATGTGTTCCGTTTCCTCGGCTCGTGCCTTGCTTTACAGCCGCAGCCAGATGGTCTTTTGCTTTCCAGGCAAAAGAGATGGGAATGAAGCAGCCGGATGGGTGACTTAATTCCAGGCCATTGATCCCATCCGTTGCCTAGCCTTCAGCTCCGGTCGTGGGAGTCGGGTGTGCTGCAGGGGGTCCCAGGAATGGACTAAAAGAACCAACACCCCCATTGAGCCCTGAACTTCACTCGGTGTGCAGGAGAGATTGGGCCAGGCTGACGTTCTCAGGCTGATCTATCCCACAGGCTGGCTGCGAAGATGATGCGGAGTGTAGGAAGCCTTTTACAGGAGAACCTCCATATCTGCAGGAATCAATATCTACTGATTCGCTTATCCACAGGTTGAAAATATTAAAAGAAAAATTCTCAGAAATACATGTTTCCAACGAGGACGTTATCAGAACTGGCCACTAGAGGGAGCTGGAGCTCATGCTATGCGTAACATTAACCACTAGAGGGAGCTGGAGCTCATGCTATGTATAACATTAACTATTATAATTGTGTTGAGTACAGTCTGCATTTTTCGGCATCCACGGGTTGGGGGGTTGGAACCGATCTCCTGTGGGTTCAGGCATCCCGCTATACACTCATTGCTGGAAAAATGACACAGGAACAAAACAAATAATTGTTCGCAATAGAAATACTTGAAAATGTATCTGTGAAGATTCTCAGTCGTCCAGGTGAGCTTCTCTGGAAGTTGAGTCCTGGCCACTGGACTTCTTTCTCATTATTAGATTGAAACTTTTCACTACTCATCCAAGGAGCTTCTTCAGTGACTGAAATGCTCCGAAGATGAAGTCAAACAGATTATGACCCAAATGCACTCAGATAGTAAGCAGTGCATATGCAATTTCTTTAGCATTTTATTTGCATAAAGTGGATCAAAGGGGAAGGACAATTCGCTCTACCCCTGTGCGCCACCTCATCCCTCTCTCAGAGCCTCTACAAGGCTGTATCTGAAATCAATAACGTACTTAAAGAAATCCTTCATTCCTGCTCTTACTGGCCACCTCATCCCTCTCTCAGAGCCTCTACAAGGCTGTCTCTGAAATCAATAACGTACTTAAAGAAATCCTTCATTCCTGCTCTTACTGGGTTTTCCTTCCTGTCATCCAGTTCCTAGTCTGTGCGTCTTATGGAGCGAAGAAAACAGATTATATTTTCCTGTTTTCTTCTCCTAAAAAATTGGTGCGTCTTATGGAAAGGTGCGTCTTATGGAGCGAAAAATACGGTACTTAAAAGAAATCCTTCATTCCTGCTCTTACCAGGTTTTCCTTCCTGTCATCCAGTTCCTTCAAAGCTCCATGCCTGAGCAAATAGATTTGCAAAGGAAGGCCAGGTTTACCTCCAGGTGACCCATCAGAAGAGGAAAGCAGATGAACTGCAACCTTCAGAATGAGGCATGCTCATGCTCAGATAATAATAATTGTGTGCCAATGAGTTAATTCAACTTAAGGTGGCCCTTTCCAGGATGTCCTTTGCCTCGTGGAGCCTTCACTTCTCATGACATGCCAATTGCTGCATCTAATGCAAACCCAGGACCAAAAAAAGCTCACATGAAAATGTATATATTCATATGAGCTTTCATGGACAAGTCCATTTCATCTCATGCTCAGATAATAATAATTGTGTGCCAATGAGTTAATTCAACTTAAGGTGGCCCTTTCCAGGATGTCCTTTGCCTCGTGGAGCCTTCACTTCTCATGACATGCCAATTGCTGCATCTAATGCAAACCCAGGACCAAAAAAAGCTCACATGAAAATGTATATATTCATATGAGCTTTCATGGACAAGTCCATTTCATTTGTCCACAAATTCTCATGACATGCCAATTGCTGCATCTAATGCAAACCCAGGACCAAAAAAAGCTCACATGAAAATGTATATATTCATATGAGCTTTCATGGACAAGTCCATTTCAGTAGACTTGTCCACAAAGGCTCATATTAAAATATATTAAAAAGTTACTCTTGGTCTTCTCGGTCACACGAGATGCTGTTCCAAATCCTCTATTCAGAGCACATTTCCATCGTCTCTCGAGACTGAAGGACGCCTACAAAAAAAGGAGGTGCCACCATGTTTGGGTCTTTTTTGACTTTCTTTTTATTTTGGTTTCCACCTACAGTATCATAAGCTATTCAAGGAGTGATTCTACCAGCACCAGACCCCACCCCCCAGTGAATTCCCAGGGCTGAGTAGCGATTCGAACCCAGGTCCGAGCCATATTCAGTGCACACCACACAGGGTATCCCCAAAGCCTGGAAACTCTTAATCTTCTCCTCCACTTTTCATGTGAAGTGTCAGGAAGCTGAAACCAGGGGCAGGCCAGTTGAGGGGTAGGGTGGCCACGGGGGGAGGGGGGGAATACCTTGAGGAGCTTTGCTCTCCCTGGCTTAATGCCTAAGAGGACGAGGTGTAAAGAGCAGGTGCTCCTTCAGCGGTTTCATTCCCACGCCATGAGCTCCTTCAAAACTGATGTGGCAGCATTTCCCACCTAGGCAAGGTCGTCCGAGTTCTCTGAACTAGCTGGAACTGCTTTCAAGGGCAGCCCCGCGCCGAGTACATTACAGTAATCCATCCTGGCGTTTCTCAGAGGACGGATCGCTGTTTCCAGCAGCAGCGAGCCAGGCTTCTCTGGGTCGCTCAAAGGCACGGGACAAGGCTGAGGATCTTCCAGTGCTCTCTCCACCACCACCCCACATCTGATTTTCAGAGAGAGAGAGAGAGAGAGACTGCCTTTGAATAGGAAGGCTCTAATTTCCCCTGTTTGCTAATCGCTATTAATAAACTTTGCAGGAGGGCAGGGTTCAAGGCGAACCCCAGGAACCCAGAGAACGTGAACTGCGGCCACTACCTCGGGCCTTCTAAGGGGCTGCAGAAAATGCCCCATAGACCCGGCAAATGTCCCCACAAGAACCCCAAGCTTTCAACAGCCTGTTCATCCAGACAGAAATGGGTTGATGAGGACTAGGGCCACAGGCCAGGCACAGAGTTTAAAGGACCAAGACGTTCCTATGGGTGTTTATAGGAAAACCAGCATTTTGCGTAGTGTTTTAAAAACAACAGAAAAGCTAAAATACATGGGTATCTGCTCTCTATTGTGACACATCCTACTGCCTCACCAGTTCCCCCATTACCGCCACCCGTCCCCACCCGGGGGAAAGCCATGCTTAGGTTAATGGGTTTTAATTTCATTTCTCCTAACGAGGGGTATTAAGTGCTCCCTTGACAGAAACGCTTAGAAGAGGAGCGCCAATGGCGGGGGGTAGGGGGGGTTTCCTGCCAACTCGGTGCAGTGCGAGGGTGAAGCATCTTGCTGCATGCCTTTAAACCACAAAGGAGGGGGGGGTCCCTTCCCCAGAGCTCCGGGTTTCCTTCAGGAGCTCGTTCCTTGGTGGCGAACGTTGTTTGCTTCTAGCAGGAAAATTCAGCCTTTAAACCACAAAGGGGGGGGGGTCCCTTCCCCAGAGCTCCGGATTTCCTTCAGGAGCTCGTTCCTTGGTGACGAAAGTTGTTTGCTTCTAGCAGGAAAATTCTGCCTTCCAGAATGAGCCTCCTCTTTTAAAACAGGTCCCAAAGAGGCATCATCAAGGAGGTTTTGAAAGGATTTGGAAATGCTCCTTGTGCCTTTTTTGGACCCCTGTGTTCATGCTCATGGGGAGGGATGAGGGTTTTTTTTCCAAATTTCCCACATTTCTCTTCATTCTGGGAGTTTTCGCTCACGGACGGACCTGACAGACACCTGAATATGACTCGCCTGGGCGAAAGGCCTGAACTGGAATGCTTTGGAGCTAAGCTAGGCCTAGGTTTGCCCAGACTTCCTCTTCCTGCCCCAGGGCTAGCTTGGAACTTTCTGGAAGCTCATAGGTGGAGCTCAGCCAAGCTGGGCCTCAAAGCCTTGCCGTCGAGGCCGTTCACCCAGGCGAGCAACATTGAGGTGTCTATAAACTGCCTGTCAGGTAGAACTCCCAGGACGGACAATGTGGGATTTGATGCCCAAGAAATCCAAAAATTCGTTTCCGACTCGTGGGTGCTCTCGTGCTGTTTTACCTTCTTGATAAGCCGTGTGCATCGGGAGATTAGTCCAATGTTAGTCTAGTCTCTATCCGCTACAGCTATAAAAATAGCGCAGGACAAGTGGTTGCCAAGGGCATGAAACAGAATCATGACTGAGCATCGTGGTAATGTAATCGCACAGCAGGAGTCACAAGGTCAACATCACAAAGGAAGGATCCTCTTTAGAGCTTCTTTCTCTTTTTTTCCATCTTGGAAAAGTATGCTAGTACTGACGTGCAACTCGTACGGAGCCCCAGCTTTCTAAACACGGGTGTCAACAGGGGAAGCCTATAGAGATACTATGAACCTGAACCTCTCACAAAACCTTTCTCTGAACCTGGTGGGTTTCTTCCGTCCCACACGCCACGCAGCCGATGTTCCTGCTCGCTATGGGGTGTCTGACCTCGGTAGAAAACGAGAAAGGCCTCCCGTCTCTCGTTTCTCGAGAACTTCGTTTCTTACTTTCGGATGGCGCCTCCTACTAAAGTGGTGGTTTCCTAACCGTGGGTCCTCCAATGTTCTTGGGTGATCACTCCCAGACATCTTCGTTGCTCGCCGGGATGGCCAGGATTTCTGGGAGAGGCTGTCCAAGAACATGTGGAGACCCATAGGTTGGGAAGCTCTACACGAGAGCATCCGTGCCCACATGAGGTTGTTCTTAGAAAGAGTGTAGGGAGCTCGCCTCCTTCTTCGGCTGGCTGCGCTAAAGATAGTGAGTCCAGCCGGTCTTGCCCATGGCCCAGCTTAAGTTCCTTTATTTTGTTAAGGCAAAAAAAAGTCTTCTCATTTAGTTTTCTTCCCCTCTCATTGAATTGCTGTTTCACACCTGGCTTGGCTAGGAGGGATCAGAGTTTGGAGAAACTGGAGGTGTTCAGCTGGGAGGCTTGGTTTTTTGTTTGTTTGTCTTTGTTTTGTTTTGTTGTTTTGTTTGTTTTTGACTGTGGCTTCACAGGAACTGTACTCCTCAGAGGCTGGTGGGAAGCAGGTCGCAACATCAAAGGTGGGGGCCCCCTGGGCTGCCCTTCCCAATGTCTGCAGAGTTCTTTCAAGGACCCAGGAGGCGAGCTGGAGTCTGGGAGGTTTTGACACACACACCCCAGGACTCGACCATAAGGCTTCCTGCCTCTCGTCTCTGCTCCTCTTTCCAGCTTGCCACCAGCACCTGACTGGCTGCGGTTGAAGCCAAAGGGCTAGCCAAAGTGGGGCGTCCCCCCAAAGACCCTCCTCTGTCCTTCTGGAGCTGTGCACAAAAGCACAAAAGGACTCACTGCGCTTGGCGTTTCTTTCTCCTCCACCCAGGACGCTGTGCACGCTGCGGGGAGAACGTGGTTGGGGAAGGAACCGGGTGCACGGCCATGGACCAAGTCTTCCACGTGGAGTGTTTCACCTGCATGACCTGCAACAATAAGCTTCGAGGACAGCCCTTCTATGCCGTGGAGAAGAAAGCTTATTGCGAGCCCTGCTACATCGTGAGTAATCCAAGGCTGCTCCCTTCTCTGCTTTCAGAAGGAGTGGGTTGGACCACGTCTCCCTGGGCGGGAGAACCTGTTGTCCTCCAGTTGTTGGTGAATCTCACTTCCCCCAGCTCCCTTCTCTGCTTTCAGAAGGAGTGGGGTGGACCACGTCTCCCTGGGCAGGGGAACCTGTTGTCAACTTCCCCCGTGCTTGACCATTGGTCATGCTGGCTGTAGCCAGCCATATCCGGAGAGCTGCAAGCCGCCAACGCTTGGAAGGAGCTCATTCTGGCTCTAGGCCTTCCTTGTACTTTTCCAAAGCTCTTGTTCTCNAGGTTTTCCTTCCTAACGTTTCGCCAGTCTCTGTGGCCATGGGCATCTTCAGAGGACAGGAGTCGGAACTCTGTCTGTGCTCTGGTGCAGATAGTTGACTATTTATAGCTGTGGGATCAGCCTTTGTCCTTTTCAGGAGACTGGGTGATTGTGGTGATCAGCGTGTTTTTTTTCTCCTGTAGACTGGCGAAACGTTAGGAAGAACAACCTTCAGAACATGGCCAAAGAGCCCAAAAAACCCACAACCACCATCAGATCCCGGCTGTGAAAGCCTTCGAGAATGCTCTCGTTCTCTGTGGTGAGGAAATATCCTAAAAGCTGGGACCACTCCGCTCATAGCAGTGGAAGCTGGGGTGCCCCCCTCCTTGCCGGTAGAATTGTCCAGTAGCAAATTTGGGACGGTCAAAAGAAAGGGTTTCATCCTGTGACATGTCACTGCTTTCAGGTAGGGGGGTGGGCTAAAGCGTTGCCGCTTCGGTAGCGTGTGATGTTTTCCGTGAGCTGGAAAAACGTTAAAAGGGGGCTAGAGAGTTTGCAATAATGACTTCCAGTCTGGGGTCGCTTCTCCCAGCATCTCCCAGACCGGAACTTTCCCAAACTCTGGAAAGCTCCATGGAGGGGGTTCTTCGGCATTTATAGGCTGCAAGCAAACTAGCCTCTCAAGATCAGATGGTGGGAAGGGATCCTGAATACAAAGATGATTAGGGAGTGATGGAGTTTGTGCCTTTTGTCGTGGTGGTCTTTCAAGAAGCAGCCAGCGTGCTCCCCTTTTATATTTATGGCTCGTGGTTCTCATGGAGAAGCAACGGCTGCTGTTGCTCACGGTGGGTCTAGGATCCAGATGTGAAGTCAATCAATCAATCAATCAGTAGAATTATTCCTGTTATTGAACTCCTGGGAGCGAGGCCTTCCTACTTATCTATTCCAAACCATCCTAAAAATGTAGCTGCCGGTCTCAATCTACCGCCGGCACATCCTGGGTTCATATCCTGGTAGAAGAGCCATTTTCCTGTGCCTCAGTGGAGAAATGGGTGTTTGTGTGTGTATGTTTCAAAGTGCAACCGAAGGCTACATGCAGCCCTTAAGGTGGTTTTAAGGACCTGGCTCCCTGTTTTCTCAACAAAAAAAGGTACATTACACCTTCTGGAATCATCCAAGAGTAACATGACCCTCCCTCCATCATTTAACTTACCTGATATTTTTAGATTTTCAAACCTTGAGACGAACGCCCAGCTAGTTTTGGTTCCTTGGGGTGGGGGAGCATTTTTTTCAATAGATATATTCATTTTTAGTGGGGATAGGGTTGGAGGTAGGGGGCTGAGGGGCTGAGGGAATAGATATGGGTGGGGGAAACGGTAAAATTCCAGACAGCGAGAGAGTACTTTTACATCCATTTATACAATTATTCTAAAAGAGGAAGATAACAACCACAACAAAACAATCTGACGGGTTTTGCCGGAATTGCTATAGTTACTAGTCTCTCCATTCCCGAGTTGGACCTTCACATTCTTCTTTTATCTCTGCTTTCCAATCCATATTTTGTGCCCAGCTATAAAATGGGGGTGGGGAAACATTTTTAAAAGCAATTTTTTTTTAGCAGTCTGTGCAGCGTCAAGGAGGCCCTGAGGATTGAAGCGCCCTCACCCCACCCTTGGGTGTTCACGAAAGAGAAGGTTGCTCCTTTTCCCGGGCCGTGTGCAAAGAGAGTTTCTGGCGTGCTCAGCTACGTGAGTCCCAGGACACCCTTTTGCCTGCAGGGTGTAATCTAAGAGAAAGAGGAGTCCAGGGCAATCGTTTCTGGTGCAAGCTCTCCCCACACTTGGAATGAGAGGAGAAAGGTCACCCTGACACACACCGTGGGTTGTTTGTCACACCCCTCCTTGGGGTGGGCAAAGAGGAGGATAAGGAGGAAGGCGCTGGTTCTGTACATCGTGCTCACCTCAAGTGTCTTTGGATCAAGATGGTATGGAAAGAGATGGCCAAAGAAAATAAACCCAGACCCCTTGGGCCGTTCCTCCCCATAATTCCTTAGGCCTCAAAGACCCTTGGTGCTAGGCGTGATTCACACAACCAGGCGCCTTATGCCTCTTGCATCTGACTGCTCCAAAACCTCCCCTTGTCAATTCCGTGTGAAGAAGGAGCAAACCACAGAGCATGGCAGGAACAGGTGGGTCCAAATTGTGAGAAAGGAGATTGCTCCTAAGGAGAGGCGGGCACGAACTGTTCAAGCTGGTTCGTTTCTCAGCCAAGCAGGTGTTGGGTGCTTCCCAGCCCTGCCTCCCCTGATAGGAGCCCACTCAGAGTTCCAGCTTCCCATCTCTGCCTCCTCTGTGCACTGCCCCTGGGTGGGCGCCTGCAGGAGAAAGCAGGATTGGGAACCACCAAAGACCTGTTTGCCTGAAGGATGAACCGGCACGAACTGCCAAAGTTCGTGCCCATCTCTAGTTTTAAGCCTTAGGAAGATCTTCCTCATAGTAAGGGGCTGTTCAACAGTGGAATGGACTTCCTCAGATGGCGATGGACATTGTTCCCTTGGAGGCTTTTAAAGAGAGGTTGGGTATACACCTGAAGAGAAAGTTTAGCTCTGGAAATCCGGGTTTGAGAGGGTTTGAGACTTGAGGTACTGTTCCACCTCCACAGTTCAGTGAGACTGCTGTACCGTATGTGGAAGAAGGGGGGAAACAAGCAAAAACGCACCATACCATCCCTGATTTTCTCCTTGTGAATCCTACTTTTGTCAGTGTGATCATGTCATCATCCGCCTCTTACAATCTACTGTTCTGTGACTCAGGGATACGGAGGCCAGGAGCTGGAGAACTCCGAGTACCTGGCAATAAACTTGTGCCTTCATCCTGTCCGGCACAAAAGGCCGCACGTCCCAGTTTCAAGGTGAACCTTTGTAGCCTCGATCACACTTTATCTTCAGCAGGAAATAAAAAAATTACAGCCGCATAAAACCAAGGTTTAAGATGGCCAGCCTCGCTGAACTTGCAGACCCTCCTTGGAAAGGAAGGAACGGGTCTTCGGCAGGAACGTTAGGGCCGTAGGTGTGTTTCTCCGGCCCAGGTGACGGGAGGAGAGGTGGTTGAGAGGGAGTGCCGAGCCTAGGGAAAGGTCCGTGGGGGCTTGGTAGAGGTCACGTCCACTCTGGCCAAAAGCATTTGTGGGAGTCAGCTCAGGTAAGAAGGGGGATCCCTGTGGAGGACAGGGATCATGCAGAGGGGACTCTATCCCAGTTGTGGAAGGGCCCCATGCCATGCCATGCCCCTTCAGGACAAGAAGGTGTGGTTGTATTTGGACTGTCACTCTGGGAATCCCCCAGGCGGCGTGCATGGCCACCGTTGGGTTTGGTACCTCTTCCCCCCCCCCCAGCTCTGCTTTGCACGGAGAACAACATCTCAAGTGCCATCCCGGCTGAAAGGGATCTTGGCCTGGCATGGCTGAGGAAGCCCCCCTCCCCGACCAAGTCTGCAAACTTGGGGGGCTGCCAGATCGGAAGGGTTGGCCAGCTTGGGCTAACCAGATGGACAAGCTGGCTCAGCTCCAGGCCGCCCACTGGCCCTTCTCCTCTGAGTGATCGTGGGAGACCCCAAGAGTCTCCCTCTCAGGCGAAGAAAGAGCCACAGCTCTGGCATTTTTCATATCCGATCTTGGGGGGGCGGGGTGACCCCCTTACTGTCAGGAAGATCTTCCTGATGCTTAGGATTTGAACACCATGTGAGACATTGAGACAGGTAATAAAACTGCAGTGCTCCTGAGCATATCCAGAATTCCTCTCTCTCTCTCTCTTTCTTCCTTTTTAAAAAACCACACAGTATCTACCTTAAGAGTGGGAATCGTATTAGACCTCACCCTAAGGCTAGCTTTTTGCCATACTGTATTTTCTGAGTGGGAAAATTTTTCCCCAGTCTTTATCATGGTGAGGATTACAATGTTATCTCGCTGTCCATGAAAGCGTACATGAAAATATATATGTAAAAGTGAGTCTTTAAGGTCCCACCATGTTTTTGTCTTTTTTTTAAAAAAAACTTTATTTTTATTTCGTTTTCATCTGTAGCATCATCTCAGGGAATAGCACCCATCTAGATCTTGAACATCTGTGTGCATTTCTGCATCCTTTTCTCATTTCCCCCCAAAATTCTTACAGATGTGTGTGTGTGTGAGAGAGAGAGAGAATGAAATTAGCATGTGGGAGCCCCAGAGATGCTATGTCCTGGGGATTTAAAAGATTCTCCTCCCCCCCCAAAAAAAAGTTAATTTGAAGGGGTTGGAGTCCAGCTACCTCTAGGTTCTGGATGCTGTCTGTCCCCCCCGTTGCCCCCCCCCCGTGTTCGAGCCTTGAAGGCTTACCCTTGCAACGGGGAGATCTTCCAAAGCAAACTTCTCCCCTCCCGCTTCACAAGTTCAACTCCGCTGCAGTTCGGAGGCCTCTCTGCATTAGGCAGTGTAATAATGGTGGGAGATTATTTAATCTCATTACTTGCGCACTTCATTAGCTTGAGTGAATTGTTGGCGAAGGTTCAGTAAACTTCCCTGGTTCAAAGATAAAAGGATGAGCCAGGAAATGCAGAAAGATTCTCGTCCTCTCGTCCTCTTTCAGATTTATCATCTCATCTTTGCTAAGGCATAAAAGAACAGTAATTGTCCGGCTGAACGCGCCCGATACTTGGTACGGCTTTTGA